GCATCAGAGGCAAAAGTTGTTCAGTTCAGTTTTCTGCACAACATCGTTTTTCGTAAATTTTTCGCTTTTTCAAAGTTTTTTTTTTTTTTTTTTTTTTTTTTTTTTTACAGGGACCTTCGCTGGTCCTTTCCCGGCCTGGCAGCAAACCAGGTGATCCGTGCGGCCCAGTTTATAACACACGTTCTGACTCCTGAGTTGTGAGTGGGGGGAGGGAGTAAGAGGGCCGCGCGGAGGAAGGGAGGGGGGGAGAGGGCAGTAGCTCATCGGCAGCCACCAACCTTGGAATTGTCGAGCGGATATTTGGCTGTGATGACACATGAGCAACCAGCAATGGCCTCAAATCGGGGACTCTCGTGAGCGCATCTTCCAATTGCGCCATCGGAAGCTGAATTGAAAGTAAACGACACCCCAAACCTCACACCCCACACCCCACGATCCCCCGCCCTCAACCCCAAAACTCTTTCTCTCACTCTCGCTCACACACAAAAATGTACAAAATAAATGGAAAAAACAACCAACCAAATAAAGAAAAAAACAAAAACAACAAGTTCCAGAATGACGACCCAGCGGAAAACCAGAGAGAACGACAGAAAGCAGAACAGACATCAGAATGGGTTACAAATTGATTTTTTTAAATCCCCCCCCTCCCCTTTAAGCTGTCTCCTCCACATCGTGGGGGAGTAAGCAAATTGAATCTGATACAGGGAACCATGACAGCTATAGGCGGAAAAAAAAAAAAAAAAAAAAAAAAAAAAAACAGCTGCATCACAAGATTCAAAACTAAATGAATGCCATATTGTTACTTCTTTTCTCTCTCTCTCTCTCTCTCACACACACACACACATACACACACAAAAAAAAAAAACACCTACCCACACAGACAGACAGAGCCCCGATCTATTCTGGGGGGCACCAGTCCAGCTGCTTATCACCGGCAAAGACGAGCGTTTTGCGAAGTTACTTTATTCTCTAAGTTTTTCCTTTCTTCTTATAATTTTGCAATCTTGAATACACACCGCGGCTATAGCCCCTAAGGGCTCGCTAGCATTTGTGCTACCGTTACATCTGCGTGGCATCCAAGTTTCAACTATGAGGTCCTAAATACTTCAATTGGTTGGCATTCTTGCTCTAACAAGGCCAAACCAGACCACGTCCATAGCAAATTGGACAAGTGGTGGGACCGGGGCAAACAAACCAGACAATGGGCAGCCACATTTAAGGCCAACCATTGCAAAACCATAGCAAATTGGACCAGGGACGGGACCAGTGCAAACCAGACCATGGCCAGCCTCGTCTAAGGCCCCAACTGTACCAGGATCATAGCAAACTGGACCAGGACTGCGAACAGGCCAAACCACACCAGACCAGGACCATTGCAAAGTGGACCAGGACAGGGATGAGGGTGAACCAGACCTTGACCAGGACCATAGCAAACTGAACTGGGACCGCGACCAGGGCAAACCCGACCACGCCCAGACTCGTCTAAGGCCAACCAAACCAGGACCATAGCAAAATGGACCAGGATCTGTTCTTCACTAGGATTTCTAGATCCAAGATTGGATGGGAATAGGTCCTTCGAGGAAGCAGGCCATGGTCTGGTTTGCCATGGTCCCTGTCCTGGTCCAATATGCTATGGTCCTGGTCTGGGTTGCCCATTAAACCTGGTACTACTGGTGGGATTAGTACTGCGATGTTTGCCTTTGCTATTCTATACTGCCGGAAAACTGAGCTCTCATCCTGGATTTTATTACCAACAATAAAACTGAATAAATAAGAAATCATCCTTGCAGATACACAACCTGAACAGACATAAAATGTCAGAATTAAGGTCAGCGGGTCAGTATGCCGTCCATCCGGGCCTCTCGGCCGCAATGGGGAGGTCAGCGGGTCAGTACGGCTCAGACTGCACTGAGCTGTAAACATAGGCCCGGCGAGGTTTCCATCAGATGATCAATCATTCAGAAACTGCACCACACAGGATCACATCCAATTCCAAGGCCATCACATCATTATGGCTCTAGTAGACTTCATCATGTACATGTGAACTCACGTTTTGTCCTCAGTGAGCGTAACAGCCTCACATTTTGACATTTTGACATGATTTTGTGCTGTTCTATGCGAACGAGTTTCGTGTTTTTTTTTTTGTTTTGTTTTTTCCAACTTTTTTCATGTTTACTAGTTATAGTGAATCACTGTGAATGTAGTTCTCTTTTCCTCTTTCAATATAAGGAAACCCGCTTCCGCAAGAGGGACTACAATAGGTACCAGTACCAGGACTAGGTACCAGTACCGGGCCTAGTTCAGAGATGATGAGACGACGCTGGGTGTTGCACCCTAGGTACAGCACTGAAATTACCCTATGATGAAACCCCTCACACCTTATGGATCGCCCTTGATGGCTTGTCATGTGAAAGGCTATTTTCGGAAGCGTACACGTTCCCTCATTTTTCCTATGTTCTTCTTCGCTGTCTTTTTCCGGTAGTAAACTACATCCAGGGAGTGACTGTAGGATGAATGTCCAGATCGTGTGGTTGGTGCTCCGGTGGGATGTAACGGCGAGTCCTCCCACTTTTCTTTTTCTTTTTCTTTTTCTTTTACTTTTTCTTTTTAATTTTTTCTCAGGGCAAATTTGAAAGTAACCACATGATTGCGGGAAATCCTGACCGGGTCCACTACACACTGGAGAACGGTGACACCACGCCACTCCTAGATGAACGGTTGCATTCATCCTTGATCGTTGGCAACAGTCCGGAGCACTTTGTACTGGGTATACAGACTCACGCACGCACGCACACACACACACACACACACACACACACACACACACACACACACACACACACACACAGGGATTTGCACCGACAGTCTGCCAGGATTGCAGGGTTGGTGTGAGTAAAGTCGAACACTTTTCTCTCTCAGGGGTATCGCGAACTCTGGGCGATGTGGTGAGCCCTTGATCCTTATCCATCTGTCAAAATGCATCCTGGGCAGACTGTCGAGGTTCAGCCTCCTGATGAGTAAGTAGGTGCAACTGCGACGAAACAATCTATCATCAGTTTTATTTTTTTTCAGTTGTTAGTACCTTGTTACGATCCTGGTCATTCCCAAAGTGCAAATTCACAATGAAAGATAATGCCACCCAATTGCGAAAGAAATGAAAGAACTTGCAAAGAGATAGAGACCAAAGAAGAGAGAAAGAAGAAGAAGAAGAAGAAGAAGAAGAAGAAGAAGAAGAAGAAGAAGAAGAAGAAGAAGAAGAAGAAGAAGTAGAAGAAGAAGATGTACACCAGCAAGACCAATGACAAATCCCCCTTCTCTCTCCACTTCCTTCTCCTCCACTTCGCCAATCTTATTCTTCTTCCAATAACAATAATAACAGTGAGTGGATGAACCAGAACCAATGTCCGAAGTTCCCTCTTACTGCTGACATCACAATAAGTTCACCATAGCTATGGTATCTCACACACACACACACACACACACACACACACACACACACACACACACACACACACACACACACACACACACACACACACATCAGGCGTGCTAGCGAGCTATTCTTCTTTTGTGGTTGGATGTTTCGTTGGTTGGTTTGTTAACTTTGTTTATTACACGGGGCCTAATGCTTTGCCCTGCTTAGGTGGAGCATGGACTGTTTCTTTGATAAAGGAATTTCCATGGGTGACCACAAGTATTTTTGGGGTGCAAATGCATGCTTTTTTTGAGTGTACACTACTGTATAGCGAATATGACAACACACTGTAACATATAACAGGAAGGCTAGAGCCTAGATGAAACATTACCTGCAAAAGAACAGGAAATGAGTGGGGCACCGTTTGATGCGCGCATTTTAGGAATCCCACCCATAGTCGTTGCACCTTCCAGATCTGGAAAACGACGAAAGCAAACGGAACAGACACCAGCCCCAAAAGTTGAATTTTCTTTCTTCATATTAAAAAACAATAAAATAAAACAATCAAACCGACAGAACATGAGAGCAGAAATCGTTACTCTGCATCTGCTTTGCGAGATGGAGAAATCGTTACACTGGAAAACAAATTGTCAGAAAACCTTTAATGCAAGAAATGAAAGGCATATAGCATCCAAAACAGAGCTCTGTCATCGAATTGACATTCATCTTCATGAAGCCCTCCTGCTGTGCTCCTGACGGATGCCGTTTTCTTCAACCGCCGGTGCAACCCCACTCCTCTGAAGAATGTGGTCGTAAACGACAAGGCCGAAAGCCTCCTCCACTACGGTTAGGAGCATCCAGGGCGGGTCCAACACACACACACACAAMAAAAAAAAAAAAAAAAAAAAAAAAAACGGCAGCACCAAGTTCTGACCGTAGGATCCGTTCCTGACAGACGTGCACGGTCACAGAGTGTTCCAATGTCCAGAAAACTATCGCTTGCACCCGATACCATCTCCCTCCTCCCCTCCCTCCTCCCATGACAGCAGCCTGACATCCTATTCTCTCTCTCTCTCTCACACACACACACACACACACACACATGTGAATCCAATGTGTGGGAGGCCCCCCTGTCTCAACCAAAAACAGAGAGCACCCCTAAGGGCAAAACCATCCCTGGAAGAGAGAAATTCTTTGAAAGTTGAAACACACACAGACACGACTCTTGCAAAGCACAAAAAAAAGAAACAGAGCACACTGCAGCACAGCCAGGTGGTGCTACGTGAGGTCGGTGGTAGTATGTCGCATGGGTGATGCTATGTGGGTCGGGTGGTACCAGATGGACTGAGTGGTCAGGCTGCAGGTTGACTATGTGCGGTAGGCCACACTGGACTATGTGCAGTGGGCCACACTGGACTGGATGGTACTGTGTGAGTTGGACGGGATGACGCTGGGTAGGTGTGTGATGCTACTACATACATGGGCTAAGTGGTACAATGTGGGGTCCGTGAGTTATGCAACCGTGGGCCGGACAATGGGAGTGGCCCCCCACCCCCAACAAAAGGAGAACCAAGGAGAACGTGGCCCCAACAAACTTTGTGTGGTTGAAGTTGGAGCTTCGAAGCCATGTACACTGTGATTGTATTGTTTTTCTTTTGTTATGCCAAAAATGGGACAATAAGGACGAAACCGTGAATTCGAGTGATTCAAGCATAATTGGCCCTCGTGACCTTTCCGTTACGCGTGTGTGTACTGTGTACTGTTCATCCCCACTGGCCACGTGCGTACTCCGGCCGACCATCGGTTCGATTAGGCGTGTGTGTACTGTTGTTCATCCACAGATTCCACACCGCCACGTGTGTACTTGTATTAGAACAACGGCCCCGTGTGTACTTGTATTTTGAACACCGGCTGACCGTCGGTTAGATTACGTGTGTGTGTACTCTGGCTGACCGTCGGTTAGATTACGTGTATGTGTACTGTTCATCCGCGCCGGCCACGTGTGTACTTGTATTTGAACACTGGCCGACCGTCGGTTAGAAAACAGCGGCACAAAACAACAAACTGGAGAAACCGCACAATTAAAAAAGAAAAGAGGCGGTGTGGGGGGGGGGTGGGGGGGGGGGGGGCCACCCAAAGGCACTCAGGCACAGCGGCAAGGTATTTGAACAATGCCAGAGCAAAACGCCACACCATATGCCACATTCGAAAAAGAAAGCATTGCAGAAAACGACAAAGCTGACCAAAAGCGATCCGACATAGGCTGACCAAAAGCAGACCTTCAGGAAAAGAAAAAAAAAAACAACAACAACAAAGCCCGCCAAAAGCTAACCTCAAAAACAAAGCTCGCAACCATAAAACTGACCAAAAGATAATCTAAAAACCAAAGCTCGAAACTAGAAAGCTCAGCACAGAACAAACTCCAAACGATTGGCGCCCGTCCCCCCAAAGCAAACGAAAAAGAGCTCTGGAGCACCATTCCCTGGTGCCACCCGCACGTGGGTCTCACAGGACAATAGCGGTATGCAAGACCTATTATGGACTCAAATAACATAGAGATATGGTAAGCGATACTGAGGATGCCGTCAGCCAAGACTGTGTTTTTGCAATTTGAAACGACCTCGAAGTTCACATTACTTCTTGCTACATCACAAGATCACACTTCTTCACGCAAGGCTCCACATCCGAGATGTCAGTCAACATTGATATGAGAAAACTTTGAAAGATTGTTTGAAAACTCAAAGAGATTTGAATGGTATGCAACTCAGGCTCACGTACGTACACAGCAGATGCCAATCAACATCATAAGAGGAAACTTCAAAAACTGTTTGAAAAACTCTTATATACAACATACACACCATAGTTGCGGCGCGCCTCGGTGTGCGGATTTGCGCACCGCGCGCACCGCACCACACCGCACAGCGCACCGAAGCGCACCGCACTGGAAAAATTAGGTCCAAAAAAAAAAGAAAAAAAGTAGGGGTTTTGAATTTTCTTAGGGCCCCCAACTCGGTACAAATGTTAAACTCGCCGCGTGAGCTCGGAAACCGGCCGCGCCCCCAGCCCGAATTTTTTTTGGGCAAGGGCTGCGGAATTTCGATTTCCGCAGGCCCTTCCCCCAAAAGTTTCAAACTGGCGAAGCATGAAATAGGGCTCATCCCAACTTTTTCTTTGGGCGGGATATGGAAACTGGCCTTCCCCCTCCCTTCTGCAAATCCCACACAGTGGTGGGGAAAGTTCGCAAGAAGGGGGTAGTCGCCTAATAACGACCTGCCCCGCGAAGCTTCGCAGAAGTCACAGGTTCGTTTTCAATGGCCAGCCGACCACCATTATATGCTGAAGATTGGCGTTCAGGTCTGCATGTCGGCAGTTATGGGTTAGGATGAAGATGCCTGTAGCTCTCTCGTTTTTTTGTTTTTGTTTTCTTATGAATGCCTGCTCTTGTTTTTTTGTTTTTGTTTTGCACAAAAGACATAGCATATGGCGGTGTATCGTTCCATGTTTTAGCAGAAGATTCATTCTACTAATATTATATACATTTGGTAAGTGGTGGAGGGAGGCCCTGCGAATCACGTGGAGGCACGAACAGGGTCTAGCTGAATTGGTGACCCATAACTGCCGAGCTACAGCCCTGGTGTTGCATACCGTAATGGTGCAGATCAGAACAAGAACCGACTTCTCTCACATAGTACAGGATAGTGCAGCGGAAGGCTAGAATACCAATGATCAGACCAATCAATGTTGCAATGCAGACCAGACACACATCATCATCATCACATGGTGTGAAGGGGCCCGTCGCAACACACAGGAGGAATGTGCCAGGCTCAGCTCATACACAGACGAAAAGGAGGGGGATTAGACGAAGAGGAAGGGAAGGATGAGGATGTCGTCAACACCAAGTCTTTGATATAGATCCCAAATAATGCCCCCCATCCAATGTCGCTGCTCCCATGTCGAGTCGGAATCTTTCTTGAGAAAATGAAGACCTTTTAGACGAAGAGGAACGGAAGGATGAGGATGTCGTCAACACCAAGTCTTCGATATAGATCCCAAATAATCCCCCCCATCCAATGTCGCTGTTCCCATGTCGCGTCGGAATCCAAATGTCGTCAAATCTCGAAGTCACAAATCTCTCTCTCTCTCTCTCTCTCTCTCTCTCTCTCTCTCTCTCTCTCTCTCTCTTAGTCTGTCGATACTGAGAAGTCAGGTAGCGAGAGGGTGAGGGAGAGATGGTGGACTTAGAAGAGGGAGAAGAAGAACTCTCTCTCGCTCTCGGTGCCCGGTACTAACCTGTGGAGGTGGCTCCTTGTTGCAGGTACATCGAAGACGAAGCTGGAGCTATGGCGCCACAGGTAAGCTCCCAGGTAAGTCTCCCTGGCCTCCGCCACTTCCCTCTCTCCCAACACTACTCTAACATCCTAGCAGCGCCCAGCGCTGAAGACTACTACTATCGCTATCTACTACTACTGCAGCGCTCCCGCAGAGTGCTGCTGCCAAATCCTGAAGACTGCCTCCTCAACTGCCTCCTGCCTCCTGGGCGGACCAGTACTATATAGTGCTGGTCCGGCTGGGAGGCTGCTCTTGCCAATGCCGAATCGTGCCAGACCCTGGCGCTGAAGTTCAAAAAAAAGGTTGTCTTGAAACGGGCCTAAAAGTGGCCTGCGCTAGTCCCTGGTCTGGTGCCTAAGTTTCAGGAAAGGTCGACTTTATGAGGGCCTAAAATTGGCCCTCCTTTTCAGGCTTTTAGGCTGAAACGACACAGGGCCCTCTTATTCCGCCCGGTCGGGCCCTGCAGGCCCTTGTGGTGCATAGTATGCCACCCCCCCCCTTCCTTGAAAGACCGAGCTTACCTACGAGGGTGAAGCTGCCTGTCGGAGGGACCAAAGTCCGGGTGGGAGGGGCAGGTCGTGAAGCTTCCTTAGCTAGTCTTTGTCATTGGTAGTGAGCGTAGATCAGACAGTGCGGATGCTTGCAAATCTGCTCGTGAAATCCATAGAGTGTCGTCAGGATCGCATGCTTTGAAGGTAACCTTGTACTGTCGAGGCTTGTTGCCGTACTTGCAATCCGTGATGACCCGGTCGACTTCCTGATGACCATCCATAGACGGAGGGTCTTGCGATCGTCGGCCCAGGAAATCGTCGCTCTTAGCCGGTGTATATGTCGCCAGCTTCGAGGCGTGAAAGACTGGATGGACCGGCAGATGCGGGGGGATGTCGATCAACAAAAGATGGGCCGTCGGGCTTGTGCGAGGATCTGGGTCCTCGGCAGGCCTAAGGGGCCCCTGTTGCAGATGTGCCCGCCCTAAGTGAAGGCGGGCCTGACAAATCACGAGAGGCCCTCGGCTATCAATTTTATATTTGGGGTCCAGACAGTTATGACACACCAGTTGGTTGGGGAAAACACAGGCCGAGCAGCAAAGGCATTTCCACGGCCTTCCAGGCCTTTCCTGAAAATGCAGGCCCTGGGCGAGAATCACACCCTCATACACGGACAGTTGGGAAGCCCAACCGAACGAGGCCCAGTAGCTGCAAAGGAGGCGGAGCCCCCTGGGGCCTACCGGAAGCTTCTGGGCCAAGGCCGAGGCCAGCCAGGCTGCGAAAGCAGACAGACTCTTTCCATATAGGAAAGAGCTCGCTGTCAGGGCATTCCTTCAAGCACTTGCTGGCTGGCAGCAGCGCTGCTGGAGCAATAGCTCTCGCGTGCTGGCTGCTAGCGCTTGAGCAAGAGGCTGCGCATGTGCGGTCGTGTGGTGAAGCAGGGCGCTGCAGAGGGCAGCACCATATCCCAGCCTCCATAGCTGGATGGGCTTGGACTACAGTGAGGCGCAGAGGTGGTCTTCGGGTGTACAGAGGGAAGACGTGGGTGTAAGTCAGGGGAGAGAGAGAAGGATGATGATGATGATGATGTGAGGGCGCATACCTGGTATAGGCGATGGTCTGCTATGGGCGACATCTTCAAGTAATTCGTTGGCTGCTGAAGTCAACACTTGCATTGTCAATTAGTGGGCTGGTAGTAGTTGCGTAGGGAGTAGGCTGGGCGCCGAGCGCCAAGTAGGGAGATATGCCTGGACACATATGTTGGTGGTGGCGAGAGCAAGCTCTCATTGACATTGGTTTTCAGTGTTACGAT